CAGGCCTCCGGATAAACTAGAAAATAGCAATCTAGGTAAGATCCTGGCCTTGCATGTGGGGTTTTCTTGAATTTCTACTTCAAAAACGGATTCTGATTAGTTTTATTTGCATTTGTGTGAGGAAAAATGGAAGACGGCTAGTGGGTTATGACGCCAGAAGCGATAATGGCGGCGGAGGCGGGTATTTTGAGTTGCATGTCATTTTTGGGGACTTCTATTTTTGGTCGGGTTCTGACCTAGCTTTTGGGTTTTGGTTTCGGACAAGGGAGAAGAAAAGGGGGGGGGGGGGGTCGCCGACGATGAAGGGTGATTTTTGCCAGCGGCGACGGAGAACTGGAGGGTTTGGCAAAGAAAGAATGAGATCCAGGTAAAATCGAGACATGCATGGCTTTTTTATCTCTATTTTCATATTAAAGTAAGTAGGCAATATTAACTAAAAGGAGAGCAGCATAGAGATGAAAAAAGAAAGAGATTTGTTATTATCAAAATGGAGATACAAGGTACAAATCACCAACCTTAGATTCAAGTAGCCTGATCTTTGTTCTTCTTTGCCTGCATACCGCTCTTGTAACTAAAAGCAACGTAGATCTCGCTCCGATCTTCCAAAAAAAAAAAGATGAACCTTTCACTCTCTAATTTGTGCTCTATATTTTTGTGCCTCTTCCCCCCCCCTCCCAAAAGTTGCCCCAAACAAAGAGCCCAAAGAGCTCTATTATAGCAAAAGAAAACGCAACGTGTCACTCTATCATTGGCCGATTTTTGAGGTTGTCTCTGCAAAGTTTCTGCCATTCCTTGAAATGCAAAATCGGTTGGAGATGAGATGAGGTTGGGTTTGGGCCAAGGTTAGACCCGTGAGCTTCAGTTTGTGGGTCGAATTGGGCCTGCAGTTGTGGGCTTCACTGGGCTGGATGGACTTGAATTTGTGTTATGTTTTGGGCCGAACAGGCTCCGTTTTGGGCCAAAGTGGGCTCCGTTTTGGGCCAAACTAGGCCCTTATTATGGGCTTTAACTAACTGATTCTTTTGTTTGGCAGGTTCATTGCTGATGGTCTTCCTTACGTTGGGTTGGGCTTGATTCTTCACTATTAGATAGAAAATGTTCTTTCCTTCAAATTGTATTTGAGGATTGTATGTGTAAATTGGAACTCTTTGTAGTGATGTATGATTGTGTCGATCTTCCAATTCTTCATTGATATTCTTCTAGCTTTTACCATCGTACTTTGAATAATTCTCCAACACCAATCCAAAACTAAGAATGAATCATGTCGCTCCTTGATTTGGCCCCGTGAACTAGTTTACTGTGTCACACTTCTCGAGTGGGAGTGCAGTTTGATGTTCTTGTGATAGATGTCGGACCAGACAAAATGTGGTGTCTACAACTATAATCTTCCCTCTTAGACGACTTTATGCAACCGCGCTGGGTACAGAGTTCTAGGGTTAGACGGATATGCGCCATCTGGCGAGTTTAGGTTAGAAGTGTGAATGGGGCCCATAGTGGTTGAGGCGACCACCGAACCCCTTCTATAGGTAGACTTCCTAGATGAAACCTCGGTGTGGACGGTGGATAATGTCCATTGAAATTATTCATAAGCTTAATGACCCAGATACGATAGCCTAGATCAAGGTCACTGGAACATGGGTTTAGGGGAGACGCACTCGGAGGCGTGTGGATAACCACGAAAGCTGCGGAAAAGAGCTCACTCACCACATTTGATGATCCTAAGTATCTAGATATGCATAGTGACCCTAAGCTAGGGGGATAGTTCCCCAAAGTACCTGCTTTTAGCTTTGATCAATCTTTAGACTAGTGTTTCCTCATATCCTCCACTCAAAACTTCAAAAACCGATTAACTCATTAGCAACTAGGTGGGAAGTAGGCTAGGGTACCAAGACCCGAGTAGAATACGATCTTGATGACCACTATATAGAAAAGTCATTCTAGGTTAAACTGGGCCTCGAATGGGATAGTTGTTGATACGTGCTAAGCTCTGACAATAACCTGCACGGATTCGAGTGATCAAGCTTTTTGGCGCCGTTGCTGGGGAACCTTAATAACTAGTAGAAAACAATTAAGTTGTTAGTTAGTCTTTACCTTGCTTTATTTGTTTTGTGCTGTGTTTGTGTTTTATTTTGTGTGTTTGTTTCGTTTAGTTTGTTGTTTTTGCATGTTTGTTTCTTGTATTGTTCTTTTCGTTTTTGTTCGTTGTTTGTTTTGTTATCCAACTTTGTACGTCATGGGGTTGTGTTTTGTAGCATCGTTGTATGCGAAGAAGGGATTCCTTGGAATTATTACCTTTTGATTCTGAAATCGATAAGACCCTTCGGAATCTAAGAAGAGTTGCAAGACCTCAACCTCTACCAATGGCGTAGCATCTAGCTCAAGTACCACAAAGACCAAGAACCATGGGTTCTTACTCTAGGCCAAGTGTGGACAATGTTTAATCACCTATTCTTCATCTGACGTTGCCCAACAATGATTATGAGATAAAGTCGGGCACAATTTTGATGCTTTAAAGTGCGGTTCAATTCAATGAGATGATGAGTGAAGATGCACATGCACATGTCAAGTCATTTTATGAGTTAACGGATGCGATCAAGGTGAATGGGGTTCCTCAAGAGGCTATTCGACTAAGGTTATTCCCATTTACCTTGAATGGAACGACAAATAATTGGTTGAATAATCAACCATGCACATCACTCATCACCTCATGGGATGACCTATGTAACAAGTTCTTTGCAATGTACATTCCACCTTCTAAGACGAGTTTGATGAGAAGTGAGATTACTATGTTCCATCAAGAGGAGTATGAACCATTGTTTGAAGCATGGTAAAGATTCACATCTCTCCTACTCAAGTGTCCTCACCATGGCATAGCCAATTGGTTACAAGTTAAAAGCTTCTACTATGGGTTAACAAAGGAATCACGAAGCCTCATTAATGCGGCTAGTGGAGGTGCCATTCGGAACAAAGAAGTCGGAGAAATTCAATAACTAATCGAAGGGATGGCCCTTAATAGCTACGGTTGGGGCGACGGAATAGGGGGTAAGAGCATATCGAAGGGAATTTATTGAAGATCGAAGAACCATCATCTCTATCAGCCCATATTCAAGAACTTTCCAGGAAGATCGATCAAGTTGCATCATCAATGAAGAGCAATGGGAAGCAGCTTATGAAGTGTGATTGGTGTGGCGACTCGAGTCATATCATGGAAGAATGCAAGGCGATGATTGAATCCTCTATTCAATTTGAGCAAGCCAACTTTGTTGGAGGTCAATCCCGACGAAATAACTGATAACACCGTATTCGCGCATGTTTTCCCCATCATTTCTTGATCGTTTAGCTAAGTGATTGGTCATTCCTTGGCCTATTTCACTACAAAAAAAGACTGGCAGATGTTACCAGATGATTGGCGTCACAAAAGGCCTTTTCTCGTCACAATAGGGTTGTTTTGACGAAATACGGTCGTTGGTGAGTCGCGGGGTAAAGGTCCCTCGCTAATAGTTTAAATGTACTTGCATCAGAAAATCATACATTTGTGACAATTATTTTGTCATTATGCAAAATATCGTGATAAGAAAAGAAATGTACTTAACGAAATTGTTTGACCAAATCTATTTTTAAGGGATGAAATATTTTTTGTGAGGAGTACTTTTTGTTAGATAAGCTATAATTGAGGAAAACGTGTTTGTTAGTAAAGAAAAAATAAACAAATGACATTTTTTCCGAAAATACCCTTTGTACGTTTTGACCACAATTGTTTGTCGTAAAAGAACATTATTTGTGAGGGTTAATTATGTTCCTAAAACACCCCTGTGGTATTTATAATGAATATCTTGCGTCACGAAAAACTATTCGTAATAATTGTAAATTTAGTTTCCAACGAGAAAATAAGGCCAGAAGAAAATATTGCATATTTGTGATGCAAACGTTTCGTAGGAAGAAACTAATTAATTTAGACCAACTTTTGTGTTCATGTAACCAGATTGTTGCATTAAAAATAGGATATTTGTCACACAAAATATTTGTCGGCAGAAACATATTACTTCTAACCAAATTGTTGTGTTAAAAAAGAATATTTTTAACATAAAATATTCGTTGAAAGAAACATATTAAATCTAACCAAACTGTTGTGCTAAAAAAGAATATTTGTAACACAAAATATTCATTGGAAACGACTTACTAAAGCTAACCATTTTGTTGCATTACAAATAGAATATTTGCAACACAAAATATTCGTGGGAAGCAACTCGACAATTCTAACCGAATTTCGTGCTACTGTAACCAAATTATATCGTTAAAACTACAATTTATTCCGATTTTGTAAATATTTTTACTATATATTATTAGTGATGAAAACTGAGAAATAATAATAATAAATTTTATTTTGCAGGTAAATTATTAAAAGCATAAAAGAAATTAACCAATGCAATATATTAGCAAAAAAGGAAACTTCTCCATAAAATTAGGTGGCCTAACCACCAAAACTGTCTTAAACGGAGACCACCTTCAACACTTGTTCAAACATAAAACGAAACAACCAAACACTTGTTCAAACATAAAACAAAACAACTAAACACTTAAACAAAACAAAACATAAACATAATCCGATTGAAAAATGGAACTTGAAAAGTTCCTAAGACTGCCTTCTTCCTAGCTGCAAACTTCCGATTGAAAATTGGAACTTGCATAGTTCCTACTGCTGCCTTCTTCCAAGCGCTGCAAACTTAGTAATCATCATCATCAGGGGGAGATGTTCTCATCGTCAATACCATCCGCATCTTCATCATTCACTTCCTCGTCTCCATCTTCATCTTCATCATTCACCCCCTTGTCTCCAGCCTAAATTACAAAGTAAAATAGATTATGATAAGGTTCATACCATTAATCATGCTCAACCAACTAAAAAAACACCAACAAACACTTACCATTGAGGAATCTGCCAAAGTAACTCCTAGCCTCTTCAATGTATCCTCGACAATCTGAGGAATTCCATTCTTCACCTACACTAGCTCTTCTTTCAACATTCTTATCATCTCATCATTCTTCGCCTTCTCTTGCCTTCGGTCATCTTCACACCTTTTGCTGCAGCCCTGACCGGAGGTAGGGCCAAAAACATCCACACCACTTACCCCATAACCCATTCCCAACACACGTTTCCTAGGCTGTTTTCCTACAACCTCACCATAAATCGCAAACTGGTTCACCTCTTCCCCTTGAATCAACTTCTCATCTTCCTTATTCTTCAATTCAGCCTACACACATAGTAATTAATAACTAATACGCTGAGTTTAAATGATTTAAAAAAAGAAGAAGAAAGCTAAAATTGCTTAACACGCAATGCACTTACATGTATGGTCTGAGCTTTTGGGGTGGTGAATTCACCATTGCCCTTCTTCACATGGAACTTCTTGAATGTCTCTATAGGATTTGGTTCTTTTCCCGTCTTCTTGATCTGCAAACACAAGAAAAAAGCAGGAGCAGTGAGCTCACACTTCTGGACCTTGGCTTCGTTATTATTAAATGCAAAAGAACATATCGGGTTACCTGATCAAGCCTAAGCTTCGCCATGGGAACAGATCCGCCAGTAGCAGTGAGCTCAGACTTCTAACGATTGGCTTTGTTCTTATCACTGGTGCTCTGCCGGAGTGTAAACATACATATGCAAATTAGATACAAACACAAATAATCATAATACACAAGTTTAGACAGCAGTAAATTACCTTCCAGTTTGGATCACTCCACTTGTTAACCATATCCCTCCAAATATGAGCAGGGATTTCAGTAGGTGGGATTGTTAATCCTTTCAGCAAGGGTAGGATATTGTTTGAAGACTCGGTTGCGGAACCCATACATCCACTGGGAAAAGTTCCTCTTGATGTGTTCCTTGAGATGAACATTGAGTTCTTCTTCTGGAAGAGAGCATGTGAACCCAGATTCCTTGAAACGAGCAATCAAGGTCTGCAAAGCAGAAGCAGGATACTCCGAGAACTTAATCCATGGACCAGTGATGCTCCTTTTGAAGATGGCAGTCAGTTCATGGGCAGCCTGTGGTGTGACGATCCTGAAAATACAAAATAACGTTCATAAGGCCTCATTCTCGATGGAAATTACAGTTTGTCACATAGAAGGGCAATATCATGATTTATTACCTGTTGTCATGTATTTCAAGGTGAAGGCCATGTCCAGGCTTCACTCCTATTCCAGGACCTCTGCCATTCTTCTTCTGAGCCGAAGAACCTTCCCCAGTAGAGTGAGCCCCCTGGTTGAGGTTCACATCCTCTTCAAAAGCTATGTCGTCATTCGGGGGCTGAACTTCTTCATTCTCCAACTCATTCAAATTTTCACCCTCCCTTGTTGCCTGCTGAGTTTCTGGCACGGTTTCATTTTCCTGAGAAACCACTTCGACAGTCTCTACAGGGGCTGACCTTCCTGGTTCCTCCACTGGCCTTTTGGAAGGCTTTGACTTCCCAGCCTTTTTTGGCCTTCCCATCTAGCTAGCACAAGCAGATCAATATAGCTTTTCGTTCTGTGTTTTTGATTTCCTGAGGGGAGGGGTTCTGTGTGGGTAAAAGTAATGTGTGAGGACATTCGTATAAATAGAAGGCTCCTAATCAATCAAAGAATCCTAATAAATGTAAACTAGTTCGCTGAGTTGATTCTAGGAATAGGGTAAAGAATTGAAGGCCAAAAACTCGGATGAATCAAGTAACGGACAACTCACAATTATTATCGAAAGTAAATTCATGTTGTAATTAATTTAATGAATCAAAACCAGTCCAGACGCTTCGTACCTCCCAGAAACGCAGCAATCAATCTCGATAGCCTTCTCGCGTCTTGCGCCTCTCCATATGATGATGGATTCTCCGCTGTCTCCTTCACTCAGTCTTAAAGCGACGAGAGTTTCCATAGCGATTTCCATTCGAGGGAAGTCTGGGGAACTCAATCGATTGGAGGGAATAATTAGGGTTCGTCGTCTGAAATGAAAATAGAAAAGAGGTGAATTAGAACTCAATCGATCGAAAGGGAGTTTCCCCTCTTTGACATCCACCAGTCGATGCTTATCATCATGCGTCGCGGTTTTTTATGTTGGAGTGCGGTGTGGTTTTTGTTTTTAAAACGGTGTTGTCTTTTGCAACCACCATCGTTTACTTTTTTTTTAATTGAATAATAATTCTAAAGAGGGATAACAAGTATCATTGGCTAATATTTAACCCAATTTTTTTTTGATTTAACCCAATTTTTTCGAATATAAGTGATTTAAATATATTAATAAATTTATCTCTAATATACATAATATTTTTTTATGAATATAGATATTTTAGCTTTCGAGACTATATTCAAGACCAAATAACAATACCATAATGTATATGTTTAACAAAATCAAAATTGATAATAACGGATAAAATAACAAGTTCGTAATTTAGGAAACCAAAATTTAGAAGTCATATTACATGATTAAAGAAATTCTTCATAACCCATGCCACGCAAGTTTAAGTTAACATCGTTGTCCTCATCCTCGATAACTCGGCCCCCATTAGTCATTTCGTCTTCTTGGTATGCTTGTTCTTCTAAAATTTCCTCGACATCCGCCACATTATAAAAATTCCTTGGCCTTGTCTCAACGACCATGTCCCATTCCGGATCTCTGGCACACTGCACAGAATACACTTGGGTTACCTGACTTGCCAAAACAAAAGGTTCATCCGTTGGTCGCCTTCGTCTTCGATGGAGGCTAATAACACTGTGACCATCCCTCCTATAGCCTACGCCTTCTCGCGTGGTTTCATACCAATCACATTGGAATAACACTACACGAAGGCCTTCGGTATATCGCAACTCTATGATATCTTCAATTACGCCATAGTAAGGAATCCCCACACCTTCCTCAGTTCAAACCATGACTCCACTATTTTGACGTGTTTTTCTAATCTCGCGATCTTGCGTGTGAAATCTAAATCCATTGATGCAATAGCCTGAGTAGTGCAAAACTCGTTTGTCCGGCTCTCGAGACAAAGTCAACATAGTGGGATGCAAAGTTTCAACATTGTCATCAATCATTTTGGCCACCATGAAGCAATTTTTTTGTTGGCTTGTACACGAATATCATAATACGACAACACATTAAAATTTTCGTGTCAAAATAGTTATTTACCTGAATAACGAACCACTTTTGGAATTCTTCCCTGTGCACTCTCTCAACCATTCGCACACCGCGTCCAGCCAAAAATTCCTTATGTTGTCTATATATAGTATACATACATAAGCAAATTCTTAAAATAATGATTATTGTAGCAATACACACATTATTGAAGAAGTATAAATTGTACGTACCTCTTAAAATCCTCGACTTCGTCACAGTTTTGCAAGACATAAAATGTTGCAGCCTTGAACAAATCATCATTAAAGTCCTTCATGATGAATGTACCAATAAAACGACCGACACGTGGAAAAATGGACAAATTATGTGGGTGAACGGTTCCCTCCGGAATACTATCATCATTTCTTTCAGGACGATTAAATCGAGTTTCCACATCCGTCATGTATTGCGAGCAAAATGTAACGCACTCATCAATCACGTATGCTTCAGCAATAGATCCTTCTGGTCTTGCCTTGTTTCGAACCCAACCTTTCAATTTCTTCAAATACCTAGTTAAAAAAGTAGGAAAGATTAATAATTAATAATTAATCCTCTTCATCGGACAACACTTCAAAAACAATAAATTTTTAGACATGTTTCAAGAATTAGTAAAAAAAATAAATAAAAAAAAATTGGACATGTTTCAAGAATTAGTAAAAAACGAAAAACAATTATATTTTTGGACATGTTTCAAGAATTTGGAAAAAACGAAAAACAATAAATTGTGGACATGTTTCTAGAATTAGGAAAAAACGAAAAACAATAAATTTTTTGACATGTTTCAATAATTAGTAAAAAACGAGAAACAATAAATTTTTGGACATGTTTCAAGAATGAGTAAAAAATGAAAAATAATAAATTAAAATTAATAAAATTTATACCTTTCCACTGGATACATCCAACGATATTGGACGGGTTCAGAAATTTTTGCTTCCCAAGGTAGATGGATGGCCAAATGAATCATGATATCGAAGAATGTCAGGGGAAATACACGTTCCAACTTACAGAGGGTTATGGCGATTTCAGAATCCATGGCTGATAACTCTTTCAAACTTAGCTCCTTCGAACATATATTCTTGAAGAAATTGCCAAACTCAATTAAGGGGTCCGCTATAGCCTTCGGAAAGAAGTCCCTAGCTGCATGACATCTAAATTGTGGCGTAACTTAAGTGAACTCCAATATGGCAATTCAAAGAAAATGGAAATTTTTTTCCAATTATGTTCTTTACCAAATCCATCGATCTTTTTACCCTTTCCTTTGATCCCAAACACAATTTGATCGAATGAGTGGATCTGATTTGATACCTTGAGTGATGACAATTGCCTTGGTCTGGGCCTCTTCTCTACTCTGGCGTTAAATTGCTTCTTTTGGTTTTGCCACTTATGATCCAAAGGCAAAAATCGACGATGATCCATATAGCACTCCTTATGCCTGTTCGTCAACCTCAAATGCGTTGTTTCCCCTGCACACGATGGACAAGCTAATTTACCTTTCGTACTCCATCCAGAAAGATTAGCGTAAGCCGGAAAATCGTTGATGGTCCACAACAATGCAGCTCTCATGATGAAGTTCTCCTTCTTGAATGCATCATAAGTTAACAAGCCTTCATTCCACAAAGCCTTCAAATCATCGATAACAGGTCTAAAAAAAACATCAATACTATTACCCGGAGCTTTTGGGCCAGGAATGAGCAATCTCAGGAAGGTGAAAGGATTCTTCATGCACTTCCAAGGAGGAAGATTATACGGGAATAGAAGGACCGGCCACGTGCTGTGCTTGTTGTTCATATTGCCGAATGGGTTGAAACCATCAGTCGCTAGTCCCAAACGAACGTTGCGGGGTTCAGAACCAAAAGATGGGTCAAACTCGTCCAAAGCAGTCCAACCCTCTCCGTCACATGGGTGCCTCATGATCCCATCTTTCGAGCGATTTAGAGCATGCCATACCATATCTTCATCATTTTTTGACGACATGAATAATCTTTGTAGTCGTGGTTTGATGGGAAAATACCGTATAATTTTGCACGGAATTTTCTTATCTCTGCCCTTCTTATCCTTATAAACTTTCTTCCACCTTGATTTTCTGCACGTGGGGCAAGATGTCGCATCTGCCAGCTCGACGTAGTATAGGACGCAATCGTCCTCACATGCATCTATTTCTTCGTAGTGTAGCCCAAGAGCTTTCATAAGCTGCTTTGCTTCATAGTAATTCTTCGGAAGTGATTGCGCCATAGGAAATACAACCCGGATATACTTGACCAACTGGGTAAATGAATTGTTACTCCAGTTATTCTCCCACTTGATTTTCATAAGCTTTGTGACGAATGACAATCTTGACACATTCGAAGCACATCCCTCGTACAACGGTGATTGGGCCTCTCCGAAAAGTTTGTACAAATTTTGAGCTTGGGCATCAGGTTCTTCCGGATTC